AGAAGGCACCACCACAGATGGAGAAGCCACAGTGGGGGAAGGACAGGCCAGAGGATCTGTGAAGGAGAAGAGCTTCTTAAAGCCTGGTGTGCAGTCTCCAATGGGAACCATCCCCAGACTTTCTCAGGGGCTGTGCCTTCCTGGAGGGCAGAGGGGATCCCAGCTTCTCTCTCCCAGAGAGAAGCTCTGTGTGCGTCTCACAGTGACAGCTACAGCTGATTAAACCTCTGTTTGCCAGGTCCTGGGCATGGGACCTCACATCTGCAGAGCAACTTTATGAGTTGGGTATCACCCCCATTCTACAATAAGGAAAATGAGGCTGGGAGAGGTGATGCTACTAGCTCCCCGTCAGATAGCTGATGGGCAGCAGAGCCCGGCTCTTGCTCCAGCCGAGAGAATTCCAAGGACCTGGATCTTTTCATGGTGCCCGCTATATATACCAGCTGCAGGAGGTTGTGTTTCAGGCACTGCGACCCCATTGCAAGGTGCACATATATAATCAGATTTAAAACCAATTCAGATCAGCTGTCAGAGGAGGTTGTCAGATCAGCACTGAACAGTTTGGGGTGGAGGGAGCAAGGTCGTGAAAGTCAATCAGAAGTCCTCCCTCTATGAATCCAGCAGCTGCAATGACTCAAGTACAAAGTCAAACCCATCTCTTTGGGGATGTCTTTTTTTTTTTTTGAGACGGAGTCTCACGCTGTTGCCCAGGCTGGAGTGCAGTGGCGCGATCTCGGCTCACTGCAAGCTCCGCCTCCCGGGTTCCCGCCATTCTCCTGCCTCAGCCTCCTGAGTAGCTGGGACTACAGGCGCCCGCCACCGTGCCCGGCTAATTTTTTGTATTTTTAGTAGAGACGGGGTTTCACTGTGGTCTCGATCTCCTGACCTTGTGATCCGCCCGCCTCGGCCTCCCAAAGTGCTGGGATTACAGGCTTGAGCCACCGCGCCCGGCCGGGGATGTCTACTTCAGTAATACAACTGGTATCGGCAGAGGATCGTGAGACTCCCAGAAGCTTCCAGTAGGACATGGCAGCTGAGCCAAACCTCTCCCCCAACCCACCCACCTGCAGAAGGGCCCACTGCCCAGGCAGTGGGCAACAGGTGCCGTGGCCGTGCGGCTTCCCCCATGCAGACTCACCCTGTGCTGCCACTCTTCAACCTCATCCTCCTTGCGCCTCCGCGCCTCTTCCAGGAGGGCAATCTTGGCAGTGTATTCTGCAAGCTCCGCAGCCTGGGAAGGGAATGCCAAGCTAAAGTGACTTCTGATATCCTTTCAAGAGTCCAGTTGTGAATGAGTGTTAATGTGTGTTGGTGAGCAGCCTCCACTGTGACATCTGAGTCCCCGTCACCCCCACTTCATGGCTAGCAGGGTTCATCGTGCACCCTCCCTACCATCACTTCCTGGATGCCCACACCCACCTTCAACGGGTGACCCTGGCAACAGCCCGGCCCCTTCCCCGCCAGCTGCTTCATTCCCCAGCAGATCAGCTTACAGCTTCCAGTCATGACAATTATTACAAGGCAGGTGTCACATTTTCCATCCTCAGAAGCAGCCTCTCTATAATTCAGCATCTTGAAACTCAGGCCATTCCTACCAGCTGCTCCTGGCTCTTTATCTGATCCACCGCCTGTCTCTCCAGCTCCTCCTTAGCCCGCAGCGCGGCCATGCGGTCAGCCTCTAGGCGCTCAGCCTCCTCCTGCGCCCGCTTCCTCTCCTCCTCCAGCTGCAGGGCCCTCTGAATCTGCTCCGAGAGCTCTGAGAAGACACAAAGCCAGAGCCGTTCAAGCCCTTGGCCCAGGAACCTAGGCGCCTTCGCCTTCGCCTTCCATTTGCACCCCCAAAGCCACAGAGCCCTAGACCAAGTCACAGGTCAAGGGGGGATGTCTTCCAGTGACCCTGGAGGAAAGCACTTCACAGCTCATTGCTGTTGTTTGCATGACAACTTCCTCAAGATGGCTAGAAACCCATCCAACGTGGTGGGCCAGGCACCCTCTGGCATGCCTGACTCAACCCTCTTGGCGTTAACTCTCCCCAGGTCAGCCGCCCGCTGTGCTGGTGGCCCACACTCCACTCAGAACACAAACACCCTTCCCATCTGTGCTAAGGGCTGCCAGTGAACACAGCATCTGTGGCACCTTATGTAATCAGCCCAGCTGCTGGGGTTGTCGACTGGAGCTGTGCTGGGGAGTCTGGTTCTGAAGAAGCCTTTGGGTTTTAGTCTAGAGGTCAATGACAGTGCAACATGGCCCTGTCACTCATGGGCTGTGGGACTGTGGGAAGATCACTGTACCGCACCAAACCTTACTGTACTCATCAGGGAAACTGGGTGATGGAGCACTTACTGCAAAGGACTAGGGAAATTTTAAAATACAATGTCTTAGAACAATGAGCACCAAAGTTAATGAACTACAGAATTGTTTTCCAAACCAAATAACTATTTTATCATTTCGGTTGTGAGTCTGCAGTGTGGGACATGTTCTTGGTTTCCTTTCCAGTGGTTGGGTGGGTGTGGCCCCCGCCCCTGTGGAAATGCATGACCCAGTGTAGAGAGCCAGCCCCAGGGCGCCTGACCTCTCTCTGCCTTCTTGGTCTTCTCCTCATAGTCCTGCAGCCGCAGCATCAGCTCCTCCTTCTCACGCATCATCTGCTCTTTCTCTCTCTCCACAGTTTCTCTCCTTTTCTTCTCTGTTTCTAGCTGTTGCCTGGTGCAGGGAAAAAGAGGCACAGGGAGATTTAGACTGGCAGGAAAGTGAGGGGTCAACACACTTCACGGGTATGTGCAGCTCCAGGATGGACTTGGCATCCTGAGGGCCACCCTGGCCTGCCACCAGCCTGAGCTGCCTGAAGGAGCAGCCACTCCAGGGCTGACACCAGACTCAGCACCACAGCAACCTCCCAGAGACAAAGGCCTCGAAGATCCCAGTGTGGCGACTGAGTTCCATTCCACCAGGCTCTCCCCATCAGCTGCGCGGTCACCTGACAGGCACTGGCTGCCTCAGCAGGCAGGGCTGGCGGTAGCTGAGCTGGGAAAACACAGGCCCCTGCTCTGGCCTCCCACGCTCACCGCTCCAGCTGCTTCTGATGCTTCTCCTCCCGGGCCTGGGCCTTCATCTGCTGCACCTCGATGGTGTCGGGCTTCCTGCGGCGCATGTACAGCTCGTGGTTGCCCATGCAGAGCTGCAGGATCCGCTTGTTAATTCTCAGGCGGGGGGCATAAAACACAAAGTCCTACAAAACAGAACAGGGCCACCTGGACTTAAGCTCCTTTGTTTGGTTTTCTTCTCCCAAACCATACTTCACAAAGGTCCGGAACTTTTCTAAAAGAACAAATGTAGCAGAACAGGGATGGCAGCGTCTCAGCACTGGAAATGTGCATTCTCCAGGACGGGTGGAGGAAGGGCATGTGCTGCGTGTGTGTGCAGTTACATGTGGGTATGTACATGCTGCATGCACACTGAAATCCCGCTGCACGTAAACTGCAAAGCTTTTCCAAGGTGAGAACTCTCAGCCTTGGGAAACCCTTCAAGTCTCAGAGCTGCCTGCTCTTCCAGGTAGCCACCTTTCATGATGTCCTCTCCAGCCTCACTGCTCCGTCCCCAATGCTTGCCTGGATTGCCTCTGCTTCTATTTGAGCTTCCTCTGGCACAGCCTCCCCTCCCACACTGTTATTGCTATGCTGACCACCCTGACCTTCAATGCCAGCCTAGGAGCTCCAGGATGAGCTCCAGGGCCTGGGCCCAACACACATGGAGACCTTTTGACTCTGGGCCCAGCCTCCCATGTGCTCTCGGTTCTCTCTCAATGCTGTCCAGCCCTGCTCCTGCACCTGCCACACCTGCTACAGGTGCTCGCCACAGTGGCACTGTTGCTTCACTCCAGTGACTCCTTTCAGCATCTCACTCCTATGAGGCCATCAGCTCCTGAGAGCAGGGGCCACATTCACTCATCTCTATCTTCCCAAGGTCAATATTTGAGGTGCTCAGTACCTGCCAGACATCACCAGCTCGTGCGGCACAAATAGCCATGTGCAAGCTCCATAGCCTTGAGCACATCCCTTCATCAGGCTCAGGGCCTTCAACCATAAGGCGGGGATGCCAGTGTATCAAGGGACTTCAGATATGGGACTCAATCCTCCCAGCAGTCCCGTTAGATGCTGGCATCCCCGCCTTATCGGTGATGTTCAGGAGGTACTCAGAACAGCACCTGGCGCAGTAAGAGCTGGCTGACACACACAGCGGTCACTCCAATTGCTAGTGCCTTGCAAGACCGCAATCAGAGGAGCCTCCTCGAAATCAAGGCAGAATCACGGCATTCAGGAAACTCGTGACCGTGACTGGAAACATTCGGGACACAGCTGACAATCTTGGTCCCAATTCCTTGCTACTGCTGTGATGAGCTTACAAGACAGAAGAATAGAAACTCCCATGAAAAGTGACTTTGTCAGCTTCCTCTTAACCTCAGGGCCCCCAGCATCCAGCTTCTGACCATTTGGAATAGGGACGGGGTGGCTAAAACAAAGAAACAGCGAGATACATCCCACAGCAACTTCTGAGACCTAATGAGGAACTGGCTGAGCGGACTCATTGACATATCTGAGAAGAAATCTATTCAGCTTCTCAGTCTTTTCATCTGTTCCAGAAATCCTGGGGTGAGAGGTGATGCCAAGCCCTGAGAGCCCATGAACTTCCTGGGTGGGGCTGTCTTTGGGGTTTCACACCCTTGTTAAGTCATTGGGTTTTCCAGGGAGGAGTCTGTGGAGCTGGGAGCAACCTGCCTTTTTATTACCCACCTATCCCTTATTACACAAGAGGAAACAATCCTGCCTTACAGCTTCAGAGGACTCTACCAAATAGGCCCTGACTGACTCAGAACGCTGATTAGCACCAACTCCCCTTTATGGGGTTGTGGAGGTGCAGGGGTAGGGGGGATCAATGAAAAACCTCAGTGGTAACTTCGGTTAACATAACAATGTCCCCCTCTCCCCCTCCTTTCCCTGCAGAAGACAGGTCCTGCCAGCAACGGGAACCAGGAGAATTTGGGGAGTCCACTGCCAGTGGGTGAGGGAGGACGGTGCCTGGCAAGAAATCTCTCCCAGTGCCTTATGACGGAAGCCGGTTTCTCACTTCAAGTTAAAACAAAGATTCATACTGAAAGGTTTCTAAATCCAAGTCCCTAACCTGATGCAGGATGCAGCTTTCTGATGCAGAACGACAACATGACAAGACCTGGAGCAGGGTTTTTAAACTGGCTGAGGACCAGCAAGGCAAAAATGCAAACTAGGCAAAGGAAAGTTCAAGTAAAAAAAAACCCAAGACCCTACAAATACAGAAGGAGAGAGAAGGTAAAAGGGCCCCTTTTCAAGTCCCCGAGATGCCGGGAAACTCTCCCACAAGAGGCCAATCCCAAGGCACATCTGGCCGCAGAGATGGCAGGAGGCAGCCTCGGGAGGCAGCAAGGCAGCGGGGCTCCTGGGAAGGCCACGTGGAGGAAGCGGTTGAGGAGTCAGAGCAGAAATGCTGCTTACTTTCTCTAAATTTCAGCTGCCTGTGGCCTTTTCCATGAGGCCACAGAAACAAAAGGCCCTTTTGAAAGGGAAAAGGCAGCCGCCTCAGCCCCTCATAAGGTCACCTGGGCAGGCCATGTCAGCTGTCTACAAGGTCCCATATCTAAAGAGCCAAAGCATGGCCCCAAACTGCTGTATGCACCTTGGCAGGGAAGAGAAGCTGGCTTTTAAAAAGGAGATGCCAGTTGTTGGGGGAGAATTGGACAAAGACTCATTTGTGAGTTCACAGCAGAAACCACATGGGGTGAGGGTGACCCCTGAAAGTCAACACGAGATAAGGAATCCCACCGCCTCAAACTTTGGGGCTTCCTCTTCTTTTACATCAAGTTCGATGTTGAAAACTTGAACTTCTTCTGCCCAAAGTTTACAGACTGAAGCAGGGCAGTGACTTCAGCAGCACTGGGGTGGTGTGGGGGTGACAGAACTCCACCTCCTCAAACCAGCGCCCACTCAAGGCAGATGCTGCCTCCTCAGTGTGGCTCCTGCCCAACCTGCCAAAGGAATCTCACCCCCATCTTCTGATCAGGCTTAGTTTTTAATCACAGCTGTACTGTTAAATTTACTACCAGGAAGCATCTCATCTGCCTTGTTTTTAACCCTTTCCTCCACTTAAATGTAGGCTTCACCAGGGCAGAAGCTTTGCCTTGCTCATGGCGCACACAGCCCCGGAAGAGTGCCTCGGACAGCGTGCCACCAGCGAATATTTCTTTTGCTTAAGAGATGGCTTCACATGAGGCTACTCTATAATAAAGGCACATGCACGAGATGTATCACAATGGCTTCTGCTCGGGGCTTATTATGAAATATTCCTCAGCTCTTCAAGAGATGAACTTATATCAAACACACACGCACAAACATTCTGAAACAGTCTAGTCCAGAGCTTCTGCTCTAGTCAGATTTTTAATAAAAGTGTTCTGAAAAGGCAGTAGCGTCACAGAGTATGCAGCAACCTACTGATGAGAGATTTCAGAATTTTCTTGCTCTTCTAAACTGCACCAATCTCACTACCCAAGTGACATGAAAATGCTATGGCCCTCCATTCATGGTGTTGCATAATTAACATGAACTGCTGCCATAGAGCCTTAGAGTGCATTCAATACGCATTCAATTTTAAATAACTGTGCAACTACCCAGAGTAGCAGCCAAGAGTTTGCAAACAGCAGGAGACTTTTTTTTTTTTTTGAGACGGAGTCTAGCTCTGTCGCCCAGGATTAAGTGCAGTGGCACGATCTCAGCTCACTGCAACCTCCACTTCCTGGGTTCAAGCGATTCTCCTGCCTCAGCCTCCTGAGTAGCTGGGATTACAGGTGCCCACCACCATGCCGAGCTAATTTTTGTATTTTTAGTAGAGATGGGGTTTCACTGTGTTGGCCAGGCTGGTCTCGAACTCCTGATCCAGCCACCTCAGCCTCCCAAAGTGCTGGGATTATAGGCGTGAGCCACTGCGCCCAGCCAACACATTAACAAAGAAAAAAATGCTTTCACAAAATTGTCAAGACCTACAGATTTTAAATTATGCTAGACAAACCTGTATGGGGGGAGAAGTAACAGGACAATAACACCACATACTGTTCTAAGTGGATTTACCATTGCTAAGCAGTACCCAGTCCCAAAAGGGTTAACGGACAACCAAGGTATGGACTACAGCCCATGTTTGCCTCTCCAAGCTTAACACTGTAACTAAGGAACAAAAATTACATGAGAACACAAAGTCGTTTTCAATCTATAATTTTCATAAAATTCAGAACAGGCTCTAAGGTGGATAACAGAATTTCTCCAGGTGGCAATTTTTTAGAGAACCAGATTTATGATTAGATAACAAAATCCTTACCCCTTCTATAATGCTACAGTTATGTGCATATGTCTCAAATGTTCTGAGCTAACAAAAGCTTAAATGTCAGCAGAATAAATAAAACCAAAACAAATTTCCATAATGCACTGGTCTCTGCAGCTATTACAATCAATACTCTCAGATTTCAGGACATGAAGTGTCGCCTTCTTACTATCTCCTCCCAAAATGACTGCCTGCTAGTGTCACCTGTGTGAGGACGCACACTTCTGACGACAGAAGTGGGTGAAGCCTAGATGAAACCTTGGGGACCAGCAATGCTTGGGTGTAAGTCTGACTGTCCCTATCTTGGGTAAGTTCCAGGACAGCTCTGAAAGGCAAATCTGGCCCTTAAGACTCGCAGGTCCCACTGTTGGTCAGGTGCCAGGGACAGTCCCCACACCCAGGTGCTCCAGGAGGCAGGTTGGCTCTCCACACCAAAAACACAGCATTTTGGGAAATGCTTATCTGGCCAATGACTCAGAACTGCCCTTTTATTCATAAGGAAGATCATGTGAAAAGTTAAGTGGTCTCCGCTGCAACAACTGCCTGGCCCACAGGATCTCTGGCCCTCAGTGTAACCACATAGGGAGTTTGGACTATCACCGGCTACTCATCACAGAGAGAAATCTGTTACCCTGACAAGTATAAGAACGAAAAACAGTAGTCCCCGAATAGAATCCTTTGGAACTTACAGGTGCCTTCTTGTCGATGGGTTTAATGACAAACTTTTTGTCATTGAAAGAGATGTTCCTGATTTCACTCCAAGGGAAGCCAATCTTTGGGGTTAACCTGAGGTTAAAAAGAGAAAGTGAATGGTTAGATGTATACGTATGTTCGTGGATTGGCTAAGAGATTCGTAAATCAATTCTTATTACTTCAATTAAAATAATATGCCTCTTAACCCAGGAGGCATAATGTGTTATATGCTATTATCAAATATTTCCTACCTGTCCTAGGTTAAGCCAAGTGGCTGGCTTTAAGGCATCTGCAACCTTAGTCTGTTCCCATTTCCTTTGGTGTTTCCTCAGTTTGGGGCACCTATGATTACCCAGGCTGGTGATCTCGAGGTCAACTGCAATTCCTACCCAGGCACCTTGACCCTCCCTCAGGTATCTTCTGCTGTTCATTCCCACATCACATCACCACACTCACCTACCTCTCATCCTGCCAGAGCCCACTCTCAAGCACTGTGCTGGAGCACCCCTACTTTAAGTCGGCCGATCTGATTAACTTACTCTCCTCATATGTCAACACAGTTCTTAACTCAGCATCCAAGAACTGTCAAATCCAGCCCCAAACTCCGCGGTTCAGACCCACCTTTCAACACACGGTTCCCCGGGGCTGCCTCCCTTTCCCTTGAGGCCTCCCTTAACATGCAGGCTCTTCTGCTACATTCTGTTTGCTGAATGTTATTTAAGTTACTGATCATTTAGTTCTATGAAACCAACAGGGAGGGCCAAGATCCCATCATGTTCCTAGATGTGCCATACTCAACAGAGCTTGCCAAGAAAAATGGACAAAGGCCTTGCTATGCATTCTGCTCCTCTGGTTTTCACAGCACATAGCACTGTGAGCCAGTGTGCGGCATCCTGAAACTTCAAGGGGCTAGGATCCAGTCTCTATACAGGACTCTCAAAACAGGTTCTGACCTTAGAAAACTTAGGCCTCCAGCTCTCCGGTGTGTCTAGCAAGTTTGTCCTCTTAGGACTTTGAAACCTCATATAACAATTCATAGCCGGCCGGGCGCGGTGGCTCAAGCCTGTAATCCCAGCACTCTGGGAGGCCGAGGCGGGCGGATCACGAGGTCAGGGCATCGAGACCATCCTGGCTAACACGGTGAAACCCCATCTTTACTAAAAAAAATACAAAAAAACTAGCCGGGCGAGGTGGCGGGCGCCTGTAGTCCCAGCTATTCGGGAGGCTGAGGCAGGAGAATGGCGTAAACCCGGGAGGCGGAGCTTGCAGTGTGCTGAGATCCGGCCACTGCACTCCAGCCTGGGTGACAGAGCGAGACTCCGTCTCAAAAAAAAAAAAAAAAAAAAAAAAAAATTCATAGCCACTCATAAGCATAATTGCAGTATCAAAATAAAAGGGTTAAACATGAAAATTATGACTCACTTTTGAGTTAAAGAACTTCTTTTAATTCTTGACCAAAGTTGGAAAATTAAAGCCCAAGGATTTCCTTTTTCCTAAGAGATCACATATAGGACATGAACAGGGTCCACAGAGAAGGGGGCCACAGGGTTTGTAAGTGTCCTTGCTTAGGCCACACATTAAGAAAGCGTGATTCTCCAATAACAGGGACCAGACAGAGGCCTCCGGAGAAATGGCTGATTCCAGGACTAGTATGGGGAACACAAACGATGAACTTGGTGCATCTTGAGGAGCCAGAGAGTAAGGAAGCCTGCAAAGAATGCAGGGCTCACACTTCAAGGTGCTCCTAAAGGCTGTATCTCAAACAACCTGAGCAAGATACATACTCGTAGATCATAACCTGAAGACCGAAACACATATCCATGAGTCCATATTAATATAACTGAATAAATGGGGAAAGAAATTGGCTCCTTACAGAATTCTAATACATGTAAAAAGAAGTTTTTAAAAATCACAATTTCTCAAATACCACAGTAATCTCATCAATGGTAGCTAGAACTAGGATGTTTACATAGTTTAAAATTATCTCCCCCAAATATACTGACCAATTGTAAAGGGAAGGATAGTGATGTTACAGTGAAGAAACTTGGCAGACACCACCTTAACTAATAACCAAAATTAGCACCACCTAAGATAAGATATACTGACCACATGTGCCACCTTGAAAGAGGCCCTGGAAGGGCAAAACAGCACTTTCTTCTCACCAAAAATGTAAAACTCCAAATAATGAGAAAACACCAGACAATCCAAGGGCTTTCCAAAGTCAATGGACAGTACTCTTCAAAGACATCAAGGTCATGACAAAAAAAGACTGGAACTATCCCACATCAAAGGAGACGGGGAGGTCTAACAACTCACTGTAGGTGTGGCTCCAGAGAGGGTCCCGGGGCAGAAATAGGACATCAGTGAGAAAACTGATTAAAATGAGAATAAGATCTAGAGACTATTAACATTAATTTTCTGATCTTGGCATTTGGACTACGGTTACATAAGGTGTTAATGTTTGAGGAAGCTAAGTGAAGGGCATATAGGAATTATTTGTACTATTTTTAGAATCTTTTTAAAGTTTGAAATAATATATATTTTTTAAACTGAGATGGGGTCTTACTCTGTTACCCAGGCTGGAGTGCAGTGGCACAATCTTGGTTCACTGCAGCCTCCGCCTCCTGGGCTCAAGTGATCCTCCCACCTGAGCCTCCCAAGTAGCTAGGACCACAGGCATGTGCCACCACACCTAGCTAATTTTTTGTACTTTTGGTGGAGACGGGGTTTTGCCATGTTGCCCAGGCTGGTCTTGAACTCCTGACCTCAAGGGATCTGCCTGTTTTAGCCTCCCAAAGTGCTGGGATTACAGGTATGAGCCACCATGCCCAGCCTGAAATGACTTTAAAACGCAAGGATGGGCCAGGCACGGTGGCTTACCCCTGTAATCCCAGCACTTTGGGAAGCCAAGGTGGGCAGATCATTTGAGGTCAGGAGTTTGAGACCAGCCTGGCCAACACAGTGAAACCCCGTCTCTACTAAAAATACAAAAATCAGCCGGGTGTGGTGGCGTGTGTCTGAGGCTGCTACTTGGGAGGCTGAGGCAGGAGAACCGCTTGAACCCAGGAGGCAGAGGGTACAGTGAGCCGAGATCGTGCCACTGCACTCCACCCTGGGTGGCACAGTGAGACTCCGTCTCAAAAATAAATAAATAAATAAATAAATAAATGCAAGAATGAATGATTTAAAAATTTCAATCCAAAATATGCAGCTGAGGGTGATAATGTTCTATATGTCTTAAGATTTTGCATTTTTCGGGCATATCTGTCAAAACTCAGGAAATGAACACTTAAGATTACATTTCATTGTATTTAAATTTTACATCAAAAGAACAAAACATAACCAACCTAACCTCTAGTATATCATATGCACTTTCATTTTGAGGAAGGATATGGATGCCTGCAATTTTGTTGGAAATGTGTTAGAGAGCCAGAGGGTGACAAGTGATGTGCAGATGGAAAGAGACGTGAGACAGCAAGTGAAGCCCTGAGTACCTATCTGCAAGGAATTTAAAGAAAACACACGTTCTGTGGCTCCTGTTCCAGTCTCCAAGCTCCCCGTGCGCCCTTTCCCTTTAAGATGGGAGCCCTGGACCTAGTGCACTTCCAGAAACTCCTACCTACAGAAGTACTTCTATGATGAAATCTGCCCAAAGAAGGATGAAGCTAAGGGGAAAAAAAGTGATTTTATAGGACTACAGATAGATCAGGTTCGTCTAGTTTTTGTTTTTGGTCTGAGAGTGTCAGGTTTCAAATTCTAACCTAGCTAAACTGAACTTTCTCTGTTCACAAGCTTATAATGCCAGTCAGAAGGGCGCTTACCTGTTTTTGCCCTCTTTATACTCCCCACCTAGTCCAAGCTAAGGGTTTAAAGAAAGATGACAAATAGTCCTACATGCTCCCACTTAATGGTTATGTGTACAATGAAAGGAGACCCCAAGAGACAGATTTCCAGCCAGACCCTATTTAGTACTAAACAGGGAAGAAAAATAGAGACTTTACTTGCAGAGTACAAATCTCTTAGAGCTCAATTTCCATATTCAATAGGTTAGCTTTCTCACCTGAACAATGTTTCAGGCATATCTAATTCTCCTAGTTCCACCGAGAGAGGTAACAGCACAACAGCTGGCTGTTCTCAGCACTCCTCAGAATTCAGGACAGTCTCCTGCTTATGCTGCTACCAAGTTGTCAATATTTGTTCAAAAGGGAAAGAATTTGGGCCTATTAATTGACTGAATATCTACATAAATGCTTTTTTTGTGAAGAGAGGGGGGTGCCTTCAGGAATGGGGAGAAGAGAGGCAGAAAGTGAGCCTGCCCAACACCCCAGTGTGCTCTGCGGGAAAAGAACCATCTGAGAGAGTTGCCAGGTTCACCGCTCAACGGTGGGGGAGGGATAGCAGAGAGCT